AGTCTCGATCCCAAGTTAACCCTTTGCACTCGAAAGTTTTTCATTTGAAATATTCTATACTTTCTAATTAGATGTAGACGGAAACAAATTCACAGAAGTGACCTAGTACAAAACACAACAGCGATAAAAATAGTAAAATGATTTCTGCCGACATATACGCGGACCCAATAAATAAAAATGCCATACTACTTCCATGGTGGCATTGGTTCGTTAAGGGTTAAAAGGGTTAAAAACACGAACGTGTCACGCCAACCACTGGCTACCGTTCGTCGCGGCTACCAAGGAATGAGTAATCGGGAGCCAGACGATCGTTTATCGTGCTAATCGCAATTCATTCGCGATAAGACGGCGTTACGAGGATTCTCTATTAGGGGAAATTACTATCGATACGGTTCCTTGGCGAAACGTGAAGATACCGGGAGATAGCGGCTCCCGTCCAGGTAGGTTCCGGTGCTCACGAGTATCGGTCCGCTGTCAGTCACCGTTCAAATCTCGATGGACAACGCGGTACACCGCCTACGCGCGACCTGATCGCATGAACACGACACCTGCTGTAACGCGCCCGTTTATCGCCTAGAATCCCGGCAAAATTATGTCCGTCGTGTCGGAAGTGCCGCGGATACGGAAGTATTCTCTCGTGCCGTATTTGGATCGTTGTCCGGACACCCATGGGACGTACAAGGTACCGAAAGGCTCTGTTGCAGGCGGATGCTCGAGTCGGGTTGGCTTGGGGCCTTGAAAATGTTCGGTTGTTTAAGTGTTTTAATGCTAAATGCTTGACTATTCAAATGTTCTAATGCTCAAATGCTTGACTGTTCAAATTGTTCAAATGTCCTAATGTTCAAATGTTTGAATGATCGAGTGCTCGGGTTTTCTGGGACTCCTGAATAACAATGTCTCATGTTATAAATCTGTAAACTGTCCAGGTTTAACAGAATGTTGTGATTGTGATTGTTCTGCTACCTACGCGTACCATTGCGCAGTTTACGGTGCCTAGTTCCCTTTGAATTACATCTGTTCCATCGTTTCATCTTCTGAATCACTTCTCGCCACGCTCTCAGTGACGCCTTCGCGTAGTAAATCCCGTCGGCATACAATACCACGCGTTCTAATCGCGTTGTAAAATACGATGAGGCAATGTCATCGCGGAACTCGCTCCTTCTGTTTCCTTCTAGTCATCTATTATATTCGAGCATAGAATTTTCTCGAATATGTGTATCACAGATAGTGATTTAATTACTATATTCTTCCAGTTTCTTCTGTGCACCGTCCAAAACAAATAATTAATAGACAATATTTGATCTAATTATAATATACAGTAAATCACATTAGACTTCTTTTCTTTTATTTATTTTTTAATATGAATTTTCGTTACTGAATAGGACCCGAACATTTGTTTACAAACGGTATTGCCTGTGACCTCTGTCATCGATCACGATATTTGGTAATCTTATCTAATTGAGCTCAAGTACTGATTAACTATTGACAGACCGTGTTAAACTTAAGAAAGGCGTGATAGAATTTTCCCATTCCAAGAAGGAACGAGTATTTTTACATTATGATTGATTCAATCCTTAATCCCCGACCCGAGCAATGTTTCCCGTTATTTAATTAATCGCATCTCGGTGCCCGCCCAATGGGGATCGTGCACCGTAATCCGGTAATCTCGATTCTGTCGCAATCGATTTATTGTTTCGTGCTCAGCTCGCGTCTTCTCGTCTCGAACAATCCCTTTAGACGTTTTATCTTTTGGTATCTCGTTGTTCAATTAATTTAAATGCTCGGATTAAAGTGGCTTCGGCGGAAAGCGTTGCATCTTTATTGAAAGAAGCGAAACAGAAAAAGGGTCACGTTGCTTCGAAGTCGTTGATTTATCGTCGCTCGGGAAATTCGTTCGCGTTCCATCACGATATCGAGAATTATCGATTCCACGTGACAACGAGAACGAAACGTTCCGTTTCTCCCGAGCCGGTTCACGCGACACGCAAACGTCAACAAATCTGTAACACCTTCATCGTCGATGTGTTCCTCGCTACTGGTTACTATAAATTTTACGTCGACATTCCAGGGATTCCCGAATTACCCGTATGATAGTATGATAACGCGATAACATGGCAACAGTAGTATCAGTTCTCTCCGTATCATTCACGGAAATCTGAATTTCGCTTGGGTTTCAGCATAATAGTATGATAATACGGTAATACGATGGTATGATAATATAATAATAATAGTAGTAACAATCATGGTGATGATCGTATTACAAATGCTCGTTGCACTATTCATGTACGATCTCAATTTCGACCTGATTGTACTATGATAATATGTTAACACAACTATAACAATCATAGTTATAACAACTGTAACAATCACGATAACGATAATAAATTCAATGCAGTACCAATGTTCACCATGTGATCCACAAGCAACCAAAATCCAGCTTGGATCCGCGTCTGCGTTCCAACGGATATAATCGAGCGAATCGAGCTCGATCGACGCGCGAACGGGTTAAATTTCGGTCCAGGCTTATTTTCGGTGTCACAACGATCGTCCGCCGACTGTATCAAGCGGCTCACGTGATCAGAGGCCTCGAATACTCTCTGTGATCGAAAACCCCAGTCGGCCTCGGAACATCGTGCGAAACATCTCGCGGCACCGGTTTCGCGTGTCGTCACGACAAACACTAAACAATCGCGAAGAAAAATCTGCGGGCAGTATCGTTCCTCGTTTCTCGTTTATCGTCAGATCCATGTGTATCATAAAGCTGTATAATTACGAGGAAAGAGTAATGACGTGCATCGGTACCGATAGATTAAACGATTAAGAATTCACCCGAAACGCGTTCACGAGATACATCGATTTTTTCGCGTTAGCCACTGGAAATGTAGATACCCGATCGCTTCAGACACAAATAACGATATCGCTCGACGAGTTTCACCTGTAACTGTATCTTTCGAAGTGAGTATACAGGGTGTTTCATGGAAACGTCAGTTCATTCCTCCGATCGTATTGTTTTCGATCGTGTTTTCAACGGAAACGTGTCTCTTGATTCTTCTAGGAACAATAGAGTAAACAGCACGATAAACGTTCGTAAACCTAGGTTAACAAACAATCTGAAGATACCAGAGATTTCGCAGGTGAAATCGTTGTTCGTGCAATGTATCGAACGCTTTATCTCGATTCGAGTAAGTGCTGTTTTCCGCCGATAATTCTCATTCATGAAACGGCGGTCGGACAATCGGTGCTTCTCGAGGACTACTTGGAATTGAAATTTCCGAGTCTTGCACAGCGTTGTCGATCTTGCATCGAATTCACCTGGAAATCTCGGAGTATCCGACAGGATTCGCCGATAGTGGAAAGTCGTGGCAAGGACGATCGCGGGGAACCGTAGATAAGAGTATCGGCACGCTGTATTGTCTTCTTTTACGTAACATTCAACTTCTTTCCACTCTTCGCGATCAAGATAGACGCTGCTCTTATCACACCGCGACGACCGGCTTGTAATTTTTGTTCTCGTAATGCTCGACGGTGTTGTTGCTTCTGGGATTTTCGGTCGAAGACGGTTTCTCGCTGGATCTCTCGGTATCCGAAAATATCGGAAGATTCTAGCTGGATTCTAAGTATTCTATGCTTAAACTTGTTTGTTTGAATTTGAATATTTCATATTAAAATCCTGTGCACCCTAAATATTCTTACGATTCAATTAAACGGAAAGAAAGGACGAAGTTGTCGCTGACAGAAAGAATAACGAATACATTTCCGATCGTGTAGAATGATGCATTGATCCTCCTCGATCCTTAGTCAGTTAATCAGCAATGATCAGCGTAATCCATGTATTATCAGTCTAACGAATCTTTAATCGATTCCGCAATAAAAGCGGCAACTCTACAGCGTTTCAGTCGATCAACGGTTCCTCGTTAGCATGTAAAACGATTGTCCGCGTCGAGGAGAGCTCGACTTTGAGTTTCTCTTCGAGCCGATCGTGTTGGTTCGATAATGGAGCGCGTAATTCGCCGAAGCGACTAACCCAGCGGACCGCAGGAAATTCTCAGCGATATTTATGACAATGAATTTTCGTTTCGACCGTAACGAACCTTCCACGTGCGCGTCGACGATAAAACGAAGCTTCCACGTGCGCGTCGACGATAAGACGAAGCGCACGGGCAGCAATCGTCTCGAGGAAGGTCCCGCGGAAGACATTTCGAAGTTCGCGACAAGAGAAGTCGCGGCTGATGGTATCGGTAGATACAAACGCTTCGCCGGCTGGCTCTCTTAATTAAACAAGCCGATATCTAATAGTTGTAGTTCGCAGCTTCGGATCCGTAGACAATAAAACTTCATCGCAGCTTGTCCCATTGCATGCTTCCTGCTGATAACGCCTGAACGCGTCGTGATTGATTCGCTCATCGAACTATTACGCCGCGTTTACACGCTCGTTTGTTCCGACAACACTCGATCGTCGATTTCTTCCATTGACCAATTTTCTTTGGAAAGAGTGCACACATTTGTTCCTGGCAATATTCTTGAGGGCATTACAGAACACTCGTTCTCGTTCAATAAGCACGTGCTCGGTGTAAATACATCTTTACGTAGAGAACCGATCATAGGCAACCGTCTAGAGTCTTCTCCGGTGATTTATACTGCTTCTGGTACGCTAAGCTTCCCCCTCACGCGGTGTTCACGTTGAAGCGTCTTAGAGAGGGGAAACGCGCGTCGTCCTTGCTTCGCGGCGAACGGTAGAAAGCTCTAGAGGTCGAGATAAGGGGGAAATAATGTGGAGTGAAGAGTAGCGATGGAAATTCCGAATAGTAAAATAGATACTCATACAGTGGTACTGATTTCTTGGTAACAACGTTATCTCTGGTTCCGTTTCGAGGATAGTTGCTCTAGATACAAGATTCTTTAACACTTATAACACTGAAGATTATAATACTTAAATATTAAAGCTTAATGATACTGTATTGTTGTATGAAGTACGATAAAGTTGCATCGATTTGTTCCAGGAGCTCGGATCGCAGCCTCTGCCGACAATCGTCACCGAAGATGCGGACAACTCGAGCCACGCTTCCCAGGATCAAGGCCATAGACCTCGAGCAGGTACGATCATCCATTCTCTTGCCTACTATTTATTGAGATACGAAATGAAGAAGAATTCTAGCAATTATGCGAATTTGATACTCTGGTTTTGAAGCTAGGATGTTCGCGATTTATATAGACGAACGCGTTTTCTAGGAACAGTAGAATAAACCGTGAATACCATTAATATATTATATATTATAATAATATATATTAAAATAGTCAAATGGTATTGACAATAGTATTAATAATAAGCCAGTGTCAACTTTCATTTCACCGATTCTTACCGAGACGAATGAATTTCTTAACAGGAACATGGGGCTCGCACTCGAGGACCATCAGAAAGCCGACTTCCGGCAGCGCTCCAGGCTCCGGGAAGTCGACTCCTCTGCCGCAGCCGGCGGAACCGTCCAGTTCGTCTAGCTCGAGCAAAGGCGGCAGGAAAGCCTCTGGCACCAGGTCCGGGTCCACCAGCCGCAGCAACAGCCGCAGCAGCAGCGTGGAGCGCAGAAGAAGCGGCGGCACAGTCGACGACACGGCCAGCCCCACCAGGAAGCCGGCACTTCTCGATGCCTTCAGGCCGAGGAGCAAGTCCGACGCTAGCAAAAGAAAGCCCAGTATTATAGCGAACATGAAGAGCGCTGTGCAGGTACGCTATAGAGCCATGCAGCTGCAACTCTTACCGCGACAGCGCTGACAAAGACTCAACCCTTATGTGGGTCATGGAATAGTAGGCAATATCAATGTGGCAGGCTAGACTTGTGGCCAGAAGATTATTGAAAGATTTGTTGGAAAGAGGATCATTTTTTTATCTTACTGTTTTATCACGAGGCGAGCTATTTTTCTGTGGTTCAACTTATAGATTTGATACTTTCTTGGCTTGAAGGTTGTCTAGTCTGTCCAGTGACAGTGTGTATAAAGAGAAACATCCATGACCTATGGTTGGATGGCACATACTGTTGTCCCATTGGGACCTGAGTAAGCTGTGGCAGTTTTGTTTATGTTTACTCTTGCCTCGTTGGATAGACTGTAAGATATCCTCTGCTGTTATTGCAGCTGACTTCGTCGAGGATCTAAAATTCCATGCTAGTGCGTCGTTGACTACTGTAGAATGCTAGTCTGCTCGAAGTTTTCATTCATGTTTATTCTCTTCTTCGCGTGATTTTTGATCTCGTGTTGTTCAGTTATTAAAATGAACTTGTTCTCCGGCTCGTGTAATTCCGGCAAGAAATTCAAAAGTAAACTGGTGATGCTTCGATGGTTCATACGTTCGAACAGTCGAGATAAATATACTTCTAGCATGGAGTATCTTTCCTTCAGTTTGAATAATTCATAGGTTTGACCACATTATTATCGGTCGTGTTACAGCACTCTTTGCACAGGGGCTCTCACGGAAGTTCGTCCATAGATGTACGCACGGACAAAGATCACCACAAAGATAGCAAAGACCACAAAGAGGGCAAAGAGATTATGGGGCGTCCTCGAGCTGGATCGGAGAGCAGCAGGAACCCCGTGAGCAAAGTTATGGATCTCATCAGACACAGGAGCCACAGCGCTCTGACCGGAGAAGACAAACGGAAAGCGGTGAGTTGTTTGCGCATGAATATTTTATAAAAATCCGCCTCGTTATTCCTTATACCTTCCGATGCGACAATATAGTAGAACCACATCATTACCTACTAAGGCATGGAGAATCACGTTCAGGGAAGATGTCTGCTTTATCGTCTACGAATAACCGTTGGTAAAGTCAACCTCCTTCCGCATCGAACATCAATGATCTAGTGGATAACGTTTCCTACAATATGCATCCGAAAAAGACACTATTCATCAAAAGCATTTCATTTTATTTTTATTATAAAACATCACACGAACCAGTAATAGGAAACTTTATACACGACTTTCTTTGCTTTCTTTTTATCCACACAATCGTGTTTCATTCTACCAGCCGTATCAATGGCTGCCATGCATAGTTACTATATACTCTACTATAACACACCAGATCTACCTACCAAATTCTCCAGTTCCGTTGCTCAATGAAGTCTAAAGAAATGTTACCCCCTGGAAAGTTTCTCGATAAATTTGAATAATTGCAACTGTGTCTTTTGCACGGGGTATCGACACGAGTTCCGATTAGAGAACTCGAAATTCCAGCGCGCGGTCCCGCCGTTCCGTGGCGGTTCTGCTCTCGGCAGCAGAGCGTGACTTTTTGAGACGAACGAAGCCCGCCGTTGGCCCGTTGGCACAATGGTATCTCCGCGAACAAAAGGATGATCTCTGAAAGCAGAGAACACGTGTTTTGACGTCGACGATTATGCGTCTCCGTCTTTTCTCTCCGCGATTCGGCCGGGTATAACTAGAAAACCTTGTCGCGTTGCATTTCGCGTAATACTTCGGCCGCAAACCGAACACGAACGCGGAGTTCCGTTCGTTCGAGCGATGCGATCCATAGTTACGATCCATCGCGATGCTCGTGGACCATTTTAGCATCTCTGCATTCTACCATTCATCGGTAACGCGTAACATTTTCCATTCAACCTTCGTGTACGTTGAAGATCGATGATCTGTCTTCTTAATCCCTTGGCCTAGAATAACTGAGACTGGAGATGCTTTCCAGATTAATTTACATTTCAACGTCAATGCTCCTCGTTGTACATGTACCATTTCACATTTCTTGCATATTATTGATAGCAAAGTCGGTTATTCTAGTCTAGTTTCGAATAAAGTTACCAACTGACTTCTCGACGAGAAAGGAACATCTTGTATCTTAGCCATTGATCGAAATTAAGAAATTGAATGGAAGAAAGGAGGATTTTACAGCTAGAAAGTGATATCGATTAATCCATCTTAGTTTCTAATGAATAACCTCGATCAAAGAACCGATTATTCTACCGTATAAAAAGTTTCGCGTGAAATCTCGCTTGTATTTATTTCCAGTAATTGAATTTCACGGTGATAAAATGTACGTTCAACTATCAATCTGATTAATTTGCTGCTATTAACGATTCGATTCGAATGAGCGAATTGCACGCGAAGAACGAGGTGTGGAGGAGTTGCAGTTTGTCTTTGGCGGCGGGAAACTCGGCTGGCCGGACGTTCGCGACGATCGTCGTAAATCGCATCTGTTCAAACATCGAAGTTGCTATCTCGCGGCCGCGTTTCCGATTACTTCGACAAGCGCCGAGGAACGCGACGCTTTCCCTGGACCTTGAATGCTGTCCGAACGGACGTGTTTGCTAGTCCAATTAACGACGATACCCGAATCGATTTAAGACTTAGTTCGGTTAGCTATGAAAATCATTGAAAAATTCATTGGAAGAAGTCAGCTGAAGCAGCTTGAAACTTGAAGGAATGTCTCGATTCTACGCCAGGTTTGCGGGACACGTCAATTCGATGGATATCGAGTTTCATGAACGTTACTCTAACTGTAACATCACCTTTCTTGGGAACAATGGAACGAACTGTACAGTAAATATCCGTACACCTAGTAATTACGTAGCATGCAAGAGATTCTTCGTAACTTTATCACGACCTTTAATTCTTCCTACAAAATGACACGAAGATCTGACTAAAGTGTTACTTGTGTATTCAATTAGAGACTATTGTAAGTGACTCATAATTTTCTCAGGTTTTTAAATTGTATGGAACTATATAAAGCTCTTAAAGAAAGTCACAACAATAGAAGGTCCATACTGCTCGACCGCGTTAATGCAAAACCATATCAACGAAGGGTTAACAGAATTTTCGCAGAAATGCTGTAGACACTCTTTCTCCGGGAATTCCGCGCTTTTTAATACCAAGGTTGTATACGTCGTTAACACAGATTCCGCGCCTCTTCTTCGCCCGAATTATGTCCCCGCGATTTTTACGGCGATCGTTTACGAGCGACGCGTTTCAATGAACTTGTCGCGCTCGGACGTTTCTCCTCGCGCGTCGCTCGCAATCAGTATACATTAACGCTGCAAACCAGTTCCGCGGAATTTTGTCACTTTCTTCGGGACGCCTCCGCCTCCGTCCACGAATTTCGCGCGATTATTATTCACCAAGACGAGACTGGGACGGGAAATTCACTCGTCGGAAAGTATTCGGCGTGGCGCACGGTGATCAGAGTTTCTGATTGAATTCATAATTACTTCAACATGAAACCGAAACATACTAAAAGGTACTTTTGAACTTTCTGCTCATAACTCCCGACTTCATTAACGACATTGGTGCACAAACGAACAGGTATCTGAATAGAAGAATTACACTCTGTATTTAATTTCGTTATAAATACGGCGAATCGAGGTGAATTGGATCATCTTTGACAGTCGACAGGCAGCAATGAACATAAACAATCGAAATGAAACGTCGAATTCTTTCGCGGTTAAGAAAGAAACAGTGAACAACAAACCGAAGATTAACCCTTATTTCGATTCGATTCGCCTAATAATCGAGTTCGCCTCGCTCCGTACTCTGATGACTTCCTACCTTTCTACCTCCCGTCGATTCGATACGGTTACAAAAATACCGCGGTGTTCCTGTTAGCCGAGCGGAAGAGGCAACGAACAATTTACCTACCGAAACAGGCAACGTCGGCGCTGTACGCTCCGTTCATTAGCGTCTGATTAACCGTGGTAGTCGCGAGCGCGCGCGCTCGCTCGGCAATTAAAACACCGGTGAGCATTACGACGGTTTGAAGAGAAAGGTCGCCGTATTCCATCGCCTTGTTTTCCATTGCATCAGTATCAAAGTCGACGGTCGAGTTCGCGCGGTCGTAACCGGCGCCTTTTACGCGCCTCCGACTCGGCTTACCCGCGCGAATCGATTTCTTTCGGCTGGCGACACCGATTCCCGTGGACCTGCATAATTACCGCACGAAATTCACTTATCCGCCCGTCTCGGTCGCAGTCCCGGCGCGATATTAATCGGCAATAAACACGGGGATGACGTCATTTTTATTCCGATGTTCCGCTTTCCGCGGCGAGACCGGTGCGTTCCCGAAGTCGACGCGAGGCTGAACGCACCGTCGATTTCGATCTTGCTTCGTTCTTGGAACGCTGTTCGCGATACGAATGTGAAATTGAATGCAACGACGGTGCCCGCGGCTAAGTTGGCATTGACAGTTATGCATATCTAATCTGCCGGAGAGATAATTGGGCATAATTGATGACTGTGGAGAAGAGATTATCGAACCGGCATCGAGTTTCTTCTGAATTCCCATGAATTTGCCGCACGTTTTTGGGAAGGACGGAATTTTCTAGGTAGCTTTCGTTTCATGAAATTGAAGTGTTATTTATCTTCCCTGAATAACAATTCTCCTTGCTCTAATGAATTATTAACGCTAGATTTGCGGACGATTATTCCACTTTATTCCATTGCTTCTAGGAAACTACGGGTTCGTCTATATAAATCGCGAAAATTGTGTAATGTGTCAGAAATTCAGTATCAAATTGACCTCCGTAAATCTAGTGTTGAGATAAAGTCAACGCTCGAATATCACGATTAGCCGTTCGCGCACGCGAAGCGACTCGAGTCGAAATAGCAAAATTCTAGTCGTGTATACAACATTAAGCTTCGTATAGCGCATCGATAAATGAAACGTGCGAGTAGAATGGCTCTGTTACTTCGTTTACATGTGTTTTCCCATTACTTCGTTCCAAAGAATGTCATCTGTGTCTCATCGATAAGTATTGAATGCTTCTAATGAAAAACTTTGGAGTGCAGACGATTAATTGGTCGCGCGTTACTGAAAACCGTTGTCGTTCGAGGGTTGACCGTGGTTTTATCAATCGGAATTGCGAGGGAACTCACGGGACGAGGGTTTAACCGATACAGCGCCGAAACAATGGCGCGAGGTGAGTCCTTGGTTTAAATACCCGAGAAAGGAATATGACGTTCGGATTTCGGTGGGAGGAGGCCGCGTGTGTGCACACGCGGGAGGCACAGGCGCACGTTCGCGCGTACGCACGCACACGTGGAACCGGACGGATTCGCTCGCGTGTGTATGACGGGTAATATGCGACTCCGTTGCCGAGAAGAAGACAGGCTCGAAGGAGTGTTTTTCACTCAGTGGCTCGCGGAACTTGGAACGTTGAAGGTGCTAGGAAAGCGCGCGCGCATATCTTTCCTCGTCGAATCACGTGTGCGCGTTCCGTGTCGCAATTACGGTCACCTGTTCTGTTCGTTAATTGTTTCTCGATCAGCGTCGTCGACGAATTAGGTGCATGCTTGTGCTCGCTCGATGAAAAGTGAAAAATACATATATATATATATAGATTTATGTATGCTTTTGTTCTCATCGGATTTGTCATCGCCACGATGAGAATGTTGGCAGAATTTCAGCTGTTTCGTTATAGTTCCCTCGAGAAGTGCGAAATCGTGGATTCCTCTTCCCTCCGGAAGAATCAGAAGTATTTCACTCCGTGTTCATTGATTTTGAACCCTAAGGGTTCATCGCCCCTTCGGAAATTCGATGTTCGATGACTCTCGTTTCACTCTTGCGGACGAAGACTCTTTGAATATACAAAACCTTCGGCGGATCGAGCCAAATTATGTAGCAGTTGCTTAATTAATAGGAAAAGAGGAAACTACGTGCTCTCTTGCTGTTTGACTAATTAAATCATTTAATCATATTCGTCCGCAAAGGGTTAAATCGATCAGATCGAAGCGATCGATTCACTTTTGGAACAGTTTCGATCTTCGGTGTTGAAACGCTTGATCAATGCTTTGCGTAGATATTTAGAATATTAGATAATAATTAGAGTCTGTTTTGCACTTTATAAGATTGATGACGCAAACGAACTGTTTGTCGCCTGCCGATTCGTGCAGGTCGTTCGAAAATCGACGACGAAGTACCTTGGTTAATATTGCATAAACGCATCTTTTCCAGCGAAGAGTTCGAGGCCGGCTTCGTTAATCGGAACCGCAAATTTCGTGTTCTTCCTTGTGTAACCGAAGCCGTAACTCTAACCGAATTAGCTCGGATCTCGGGGACGATGAACGTTCCACGCGTATTTTTCCTCGCGAGGGACGAGCTTGAAATGTCGCTCCAACATCGGAATCGTTTTGAATATTGAACCGAGCATCGACAAACACGACAATATTTCCTTTTCTTGTGACGTATTTTCGTTTACCCAAACGGAAACGTGACAAGCATAAACGAACAGTCGCACAAGATAACGTGGATTATTATAGAAATAACAAAAACGAATCGTTCCTTCCCTCTTGTTCTCATTAACTTACACGTTAACTTCACTCTCGCAGCTTTCTCTAGATCCAATTTCAACGCACACGCGATACCATCGATAATTATTGCAAAGCGAACGAGTTCCTCTGCTATTCTTCCAATTATTGAGGCTACCGGATAATCTTCCTCCATTTCAAGCCCATTAACTCTCGTAATTACAATACAATTTTACAATTTCAATGTTCACTCAATTTCCATTGAAATTTATGCTCATTGAAGACTGCGATTATGTCGTTGCTCAAATTCACTTGCCCCTTTGGTTATCTTAACACGATGTTCCACAAGTAAAACAGTTTTCTAGTACTCCGAATAGAATGTTCAAGAACCCAATTAGAAAAATAGAATCACGATGGAAGAGAGTTTATAAATATTTCTGTCGTACACGTTGTAGCTCTGTGTTTTCAAACTTCCTACGAACGAAACTCTGGCAATTATAATGACCATAAAGAAGAGCGTGTACACTACTTAGTTCCCTCGTGGACGCTATAAAAGACGCTAAACGACTCGCGGTCACGGAAGACGTGTCCCGAGTTCATCGGCGGCGCCGGGCTCTATTGTTCGGTTCTTCTAAATTGAAAGCTGGCAGTTCGCTGTTGTTTCCCCCACCTGGCGACGTGATCTCTAAGCATAATATCTGGTGATCTTGCGACTTCGTCCCCTCTGCTCCGCAGTTTTCCTTCTTTTTTCCTTCGTTCCCGACCTCTACGTTTTCCCCGGGCGCGCAACCGCCGTTCGCTGGCGTCGATGTTCATTAGAAATTGAAATAATGCCGAGGGCAGACTCGTGCAAAATAAATATTCGCGGAGAGGACGTCGAGAGCGATCGTTCTAAGAAAAACTTCCAGTGTCCCGGGAAACTTTGACTCCTCTCGAACACTTTGTCTCGAATCGTATTGTTTGCTGTCCGTCTATTACAAGGTGTTTCAAATCTCCGTGCTTGGAATTCTTTTTCTTCTTCGCGTTCCTTTGAATTGTAATCTCGAAGTAACTCGTGTTTTATTATCGTAACATTACTTATCTTATTACGGTAACATGCAAATTTGAAACTGATTTTTCTCGGAAACGGGACACCATTGTCGACAAAGCTATTAGAGTTTCATTCGAAGGCGGATCTTTATGTCTGTCCCTCTGCTCGCAAGAGATTCCCGTTAGGATATCTTCCGCATTTTTCTCCTGGAGTCTGGTTATCGTCGCCGGACACTCTTCCTATTTCCTCTGTTTGCCGACCCAGTTCCTTAGAGGCGAACTCGCGGCCGTGCAGTTTTGTTTTCGCCGTCGACCTTTCACGAAAGCGACAACCTGCATAAATCGCCGACCATTGTTTGGCGAGGAAGTGTCACGGACGTTAGATTGAAATCGTGGAAACGTTCGTCCGTCGATAGGTACGTTTCCACGTTTAAAAAATTCCGCGTTACGTCGGGAATCGGTTTATTCGCGGCGTATACAAACGCGGCATAACTTTAAATACATAACCGCTCGCTCGCGTTCTGTTTCAACGGTCTGTTCATCGAAAATTATTTAATCGCTTGAAAATAGAACTAGCATACTAGTAAAACCGACGGGTTTCAGTTTCCCTATTTCGCAATTACCTGTACCTTAACAATGTCAATTAGGCAAAACGATTTGAGAAATAGCGATAATACGAAGAAACCAGGAAAAATATTATTAATTGTTTGGTTTTAGCGTTAAAGAGTTTTCTTAAGATTATGTGAAAGAAAATAAGACTCGCTTCTGGTATAGTCATTAAGAAGGTAATCAGCTAGCTTTCAGAAATCTTAATAAGATCTGGAGAACTCGACGTTCGAATGACGTATTTTCTTAATTTGTAAACTCGAATGGAAATATCATTTTAATTCCCTTTTTAAATGAATTCCGAAGCTAGACTGGACTACTGGAAATTCTAAATTTACTTTGTACTTCGCACAATGTAGGCTCTGTACGAGTGTGGAAACTAATCAGTATTAATGCTTCCATTAAGTCTTTGATTATAACGGAATTAATTATTCAAGAACACGCGAGTAACGGGTAAGAAGAATTCCTTTACGTAATAATATATTCCGCGGAAGTAGACTGACTGCGATTTTACGATTTTGCGTTCGATTAACCCCTCGTCCGTCGATTTATTTCGAATCAAACGTTTCCGCTTGCGCTGCTTAATTCTGTCGCGACCCCGTGGACACGACTGTTTCAAAGAAAATCGAGGTGTCATAGCTTCAATTAAAGTTGAAGCGAAAATAAGTTACGATAAACATGTTTGTCGAATCATTTGCGAAATTCAACTTTGAGAGCACAGGCGAGCGAGTCGAAAGAAATTGATTTCGTACGCGGCGCGGGAATGATCATTTTATAATCGAACGATGTCGCGATAACATCTGCTTAGCATCTGTTGCATATGGACCAGGTGACGTCACGTGGAATCGTTAATTTATTTCGTACAGTTTTCCGAGCGCAGTTTTCGAAGTGCATTGTTTCGTTCTTGCATATATAAACATGATAGTTTTCAACTTCACATTAGAAGATCATTCTTTTGGAGACCCACCTGATATAAATTTAACACTTTGAGTGCGAAGTAAACACTCGTCAAAATTCTTAATAAAACAAAAACTGAGAAATTAAGATTCTTCGTAACGATTGCTCTATCTTCCTCATACCTCATACATCCAAAATTCGGTTCGTTCGATACGTTATCAACAGAATTATCCAAGTTCATGTAAAAAATGGTGTCACGCAAGTTCGAGTAACGTGGCAATGAAAGTGTTAAAGGAATATTAATATCGTGAGTTTCGGAAACAGTCGTGGAAGAACACGAAAGCGGATCGTTCCGAGGAGTATTAAAATTTCGAACTGTGCGTTCTCGCGTTTCGTCTGCGAAATGTGCAGAGTTTCCGCAAGGCGCGTGTTGACCGAAGGAAAAAGCAATCTCGACTCGAAAGTCGCAAATGAAGGATCATTGTGTCTTAGTACACCGTCGTTATCGCGTTAAGTGTGCAGTGTACACTGCAAGAGTGTACTTTGAGCATTCTGTAGCTGCGATCGCGAAGTTTCTTTCGAAATTTGAGACACGTTCAACGGTAACTAATTCGCGCGGTGGGATTTCGAAGAAATTCTGAAGTGTTTACTAAATATCTAATACCTAATTGTTACCCGATAGTCTAAATATTTAATATTTAATCATCCAATATTGTAGGAATCTATCTATCAATATTCCAAGAGTTTATGTATCAAACAATCTAAACACTATCTAATTCCAATCGTACAGCATAATTGGCTGGTGTGATCGGCGAGGATAACCGTGGCGTCAAACGCAAAGTTATGTGACTGACATTGTGACAGTGTGTTAGAAGCGGCAAGTGCAACATGTCTTCCTATTTCCGATGGATAAAGAGCGGGAAGAAGGACGATTATTTCGGCGCGAAGCCGAGAAGTCGTTCCTTGGATTCGAAGAGCCTCGAGGCTTCCGGTATACGTCTTATCGTGCAAAATGTACTGAGCAGCCTATATTAAATATTCATTCGCATCGCTTGTATAATATTCTGACAATACATTAATATACATTATTCGAATTACGTTTACGAAACACGGCGACCCCGATCCGTGCAAGATAATTGCTTTCATATCGATGGGACACTCATTTTCGTTCCAAACGAAACTATTAAATTACGTATTTTTCTGTAACTTAACAGTATCATTACTTCATTAGCTATCACTTTTATGTAGATTATCATTCATTTGACTTTATAAATTACACGTATAAGATAATATTGTAGTCAATGTATCATTGTAACATTCACATTTGCATTTGAAATAGAAGGTCGACAATCTTTGAACCTCTAATGAATTTGGTAATAGCGATTCGAAACGCTGATTCGTAACATTGTGACTATATTCATCAAGAGACTCTCTTTAAGTATCGGTACATTGAAAAATGTAGGTGAAACTTCGTGACGCATACACAGTTTAATATCAAATGTTATCAGTTTACTTTATCGAGTCGAGCGATGACTGAGAGTCATCTCCAGAGTGCAGAGGGTTAATTCATTATTATCGTAAATACGATAAATTTCACCGGTTGATTTTTCGTTGACCGTGTATGCATTTCTGTTGCAGAGAACCGCGGCGCAGCACCAGGCACAAATAGCGGCGCAGGGTAAGTAATAAATGTGAAGTCAGCTTCTAACTAGACCCCGAATCGAGTGTCTGATTATTCTCGGCTACATAAACAGTGAAGCAATAAAGACAGAGCGTGTGTGTCGTGATAACCGAGAAATGTCACTCGGCTGGCGATAGCATCTGAAAAATAACTCGGTGTGCTTTGTCGTAACATTCTTTTCTCTATTCTCCCGACACATTTAATGCCGCCGACGAATAATTAAAATTAATCAACTCGCCTACATCCTGTCCGTAGACGTTTTTCATTTCAACGCCGAACAGACATTTCTACGAAAGGTTACATTTCTCTGTCACAACTTGATCGACAACGTCAATCTTTCCCAAGTGACATGATTCTCTTTACAAATTTAAAAAAACCAATTCTCTCGATAAAACCGTAACGCATTGCCGGCCGACTATCATTCCATCGCTCCTACATTAACGTAATATTTTCCACATATACAACAAAAGTCCAAAAAATTACAAAATCGAATTCCTCATTCTCGTAATTTACAAATTTCGGTTAGATCAGTTCAAAGCTATCAATATCACCGATGCTCGCGATTCCAGTAGTTGAAAATTATCCGGCGTACAATGCGTTGAACGTCTAATTTCAGAGTTTATTAACCCTTAGCACTCCACGTTGCTTTGTAATCTATCAGCAACTAATTTTCATAGTATCCCCAGCGAAAATTAGAAATGCTACAACATTCCTTCGATCTCTTATTTTCCTTGTTAGTACCAAATTTGGGTGTGCGGAAGATCGAATAATTTTAGGGTAGTTTCTTTAAGATTCATTCAAATGTTTAATATTATAACTGCTGCAATATTGGAGCCTACAGTGTTCAAAGGGTTAAAGCCAACAAACATTAACATTAATTTCACACGTCGGAATTTCAAGTTACCCGGCGAGTGGAAATATTAAGACGTTTCGCCGGGCGCCGTAAAGATGGCGGCTCGGTCGCCGAGTTAAACATGGCGGGCACATTCCGAAGCGCGCACGACACCCGTTACCGCTGGGGACTTGCGCCTCAGAACGTTTTTGTATTGCGACGGGCGCGGTGGCACGTGCTCTGTGACTTCCCCGCTCCGTGTTCCCCTAAGCGCCTATCGCGTCTATCAGTGATCGGGTTCGTTTCGGACGTTAACGCGCGAGGAAATTCATTCGCCGCCTGCGTCCGGCTCGGTGTTACCCCACGATCAACTGCCGCTGAGTTTTTCATCAGCCGTTAATGAGATCGTGACGGGAGTGCTGGCTTCGAGTCACCGAACGGCAGTACGTGCGAAATATAACGTAGACAAATTTGTCATGGACTTATGGTACATTGTTCGTTTATTCTCATTCTTATTATCAATAGTATTATAATTATTATTATCATCGCTATTATTTTCCCTCTTCTCGGTTAACTAGTTAATTAACCCTTTGCACTCGAGAGGTGACTCAGTCACCTGATTTGAAGTAAAATTATAAAATTTGATAATCAATATTATTATTTAAAAGAGCTTTGTTTCTCAATTCACTTGTGACTTTTCTTTGAGTTAATTTTAAAAAATATCTTTTAATTAGAAAATGTTAAGTATTTGTGACGAAATACTTCCGAGTACAAAGGGTTAAAAACGCAACCACGGTTGCGCGTTTAAGATTTCAATTTGTGTCTCAATTTTGCAATTACCGAATTAGTTCCGTCATTTTCCGCGGAAATGTCAACCTTTTCAGTAATTGTGAAAGAGATCCGGAATAAGTCCTCTCTAGCCATCTTGTAGTCGTGTTAATTTCGCGTAATCTGTTCCCCTTCCCCTAACAGTCGAATGGCTGAGGAAACGTGCCGCGACAGGATCGTGTCAGCGAAGACGCGAGTCGCGCTTGCGAGTGTAAACATTGTTACGTGCCGCGCGGTAACTTGCCACGACCAAGTACGGAACTGTTATCCCGGGCCGTTCGTCGATCGAGGATAGTTTATCGCCTGGAACCGTCCGATGCTGGTGTCCGCGTACCATCGTGGACCCTATTCGGTGTGCAAGAAGCGTTCGAACAGTGTTTGAAGTGACCGTTGACCGTCGAGCACGAGGTGTCACCGACGGTTCTCGTTTTCGTGTGTCGTGCCGAGGGAGGAGAAACCGACAAGACCACGCGCTCGCTCGCGCGGAAACCGTGCTGCGCCACGCGCGTCAACTGGAAAGTGAAAAGAGTGTTGGTGCATCGCGTTTCGCCGCGGGACATTACGGGCGGAGGCGGTCGGTACGTATTGTTCCGGCGCTTTCTCGTTTACGCGGAACTCGCGTCGGGAGCCGTGCGGACTGCGACGCAACGGACCAGCGTCCATCTAGCTCCGTTCAAGGCGGGTTTCGAACGTCTTACTGCTGCACCTCGTGGTTCATCGTCCATGTTGTCTTCCGCGAGGCCCGGTCTCATCGGGAAAGAGGGAACGAGACGAAAGTGAATGAGTCAATGCTGGAGGGGTTATGTGTCCTGACGGACACGTTTTCCCGTTGTGGCATCATATTGATTTAGACCGCGAACTGAATGAAGACGGCATGCTCCAGTTAACGGATTCGCGGTGTTTCTCGAGCGTTCCGTTAAAATTTGAAAATGGCGACCCAATTATCGTTTGGACCTTCGTCGCGTGACGCCGGCAAGTGCTTTCGCCGGACGCATATACTTGCATGCCATTTTTTTGTTTCGAGCGCCTTGGATAGTCGCCGGGTCGAGGATTTATTCGTCAATCTTTTTTCTCGGTAGCGGCAATGCGGATGGGGATTGAGTCATCGAGGTTATGCCCGAGGATTTTTGGCGAACGCTGTAACCGTGCGCAACGTGACAGCCGCGTATTCGAGACACTCGGCTGCTTTTTTCGCGTCTCTCGACACACTTCGCGTATGTGAGAACCGAGTGAACGGGAGAGGGACGGACGTGTGAATTTCGATGACACGTTTCGCGTCTCGTTTGCTTGGAGTATCGTGTCCGTTTTATGTAAAAGTGTATGGTAGTTCTTTGTGCTTCCGTTTGTTTTCAGTCGGCTGCCGTTATCTATAGGGTGACGTTATTTATCGACGTCGTATATCGATCGAGTTCGATGATAAGACGCAACACTGGGCGTTTGTTGTTTAGGTTATATTCGAGGTGAATGTCACGTACGTGCCTCCAAGGTCGTTTCTATCGAGCTTTAGAGGTTAATCGAGAAATCTCCGGGAAAAGTATTTCTTCGCAGTCACGAGCACGTTTCCGTTGCAGCGTCGCTAGGGAATTGCCGAGGTACATAACCTCGAACAACTAACTCGCCAGTGGAATCGTTTGTTTTCTTCTTTTTCGAACAACCTACAGAAACCGTATTTTTAGCTATCGTTTTTATCGTGTGCACAACGACGCAATGTTTACATAGTCAGATTTATTCAAGGCAAGAGTTTCTGATTAGCTCGCGATTAGATAAATCGAAGCGTCGTCTCGGGAAGAATTATCCATTAAATGGAATGACGTGTGTCGAATGATGCCGAGTCATGAATATTTTTCCCAGGCCGGCGGGTACCGGTCGGAGGTTCACCTGTGAAATTCTTCCGTTCGAATCGTTCTATTAATATGCCCGAGTGGCTTAGAAATAGCTACTTAAAAGGACTGCCGCAATGATCAAGCCACTTGAAATACTCGAACGTCCGAGCTGAACTCAGCACGTTTTTCAGCCGAGTAGTCGGCTCTCAATTAGACGCGATCGCGAGTGACGCCGTTCTACTCATTCCCAACTTGCTCCTGACAATTTCCATTGAACCCCATACAACGGAGAAATCCCCTAAAACAACTGATGTTACCAGAACTACGTGGTTCTATGAAGCTCGATCGCCAGCCTAGTTCAAACGGTGTTCATCGGCGTCCATCTTTGATTTTCATTAACACGTCACGTGTACCATATATGGTAATTTTTCTCTCTTTGAACAATTCTTACCGTTTACTTAGTACACCGTTCGACCAGAAGCGGCAAGAATCACTTGGGAAAACAATCGCGGTTGCCCAAATAATTTGTGCCGCGAATAGCCGGCTCGTATACAGCGCGGGCGGCACGAATTATCCGCGCCATCAGCGAAATTCGGATGAATACACTGTCCATGCAACGATGAAAAGAAACCGAGCGCGTATAATTGAACGAAAAAAAGAGGGGAACACGTCGGAACGAAAATAGAAAAGATTACGATAACGAGGCTTGCTCTCCGGATAAGAACAGGTCAGTGATGTTTACGTTATCAGTGGATCCGGGCCTGTGTGTTTACTATTTCCCGATTCAACGGCGACCGCTAATTGTGCGTTGCCGCGTTTGCTTTCAGTTACGACGGTGATGCACGGCTCGCGACCTGGTTTTAAAATTCTCCCCTAAAACTGATTCTGTTTTGTTTACCCGCAATAATACGTTGCCTCGTTTGTATCCGCGGTTCTCCGTTCGTCACGGTTGTTTTCCTTACCGGTTAGCAGATTTTGTGAATTTTCGAATTACATTCGTGTACTGTACATCATAATTATATTATTGGTTCATCATTATCTTCAAATGAATTAATTAATCTCAAACTTTTCGAATTCGTGTACTGTATATCATAATTATATTATTGATTCATCATTAACTTCAAATGAATTAATCTTAAACTTTTCGTATTTTTGATTTACAACGGTGTAAAAATACGTTCTCTTGCAATTATTATTAGAAAAATGATTAAAAAGCATAAGCCAGTTTCCGAGAGATTATTAAAGAAATTAGTTTGACGAGGCGCGCTTTGAAATATGAATGGAAATTTCAATAAACGCCCTCCCGCAGTTTGCACGAGGAAACACGGATCAATCAGCGTGATTGATAGGCAGTTCTATCGTTGATACGCGAAATGTCGTGCATCGCTGAAAGTTACGACGTCGATCGTCGACGACGCGATTAGCAACCGCGTTCTACGCGCGGAAATTTCGGAACCCTGCGGAGAGACAGAGAGGCGCGACGAAATTGGAGTCGGATCAATCGACGGACGGAAGCAATATTTATTATTTAGTCAGCATCGCGACAGCGGGGGCGGAATAATGCGCAGAAACGAAGGCACCCCGGCCGGGTTTCATATTCTGCGTTTACTCCCCCGGCGAATCGTTTTAACAAACACGTTTCACGTTACGCTCTCTTTACGTGATTTTTGTTCGAGCGTAATACGCTCGTCGAATTGTTTGTTACGCGACACCGGCGCTCCGCTGCTTTGCATTTCCCGATATTCGAAGAAACAATATACCGTTTTTCTTCGATGCGTTAAATTAAACGGAAAATATCCCACGGGAACGACGCGATTGTTTGGAAAATTAGCGCGATCGCTGCTCTCGGTCATGAATATTTATCGCGCAGAGATAATCCGGGGATTGACATAGTTGTTGTTTCGTCTCATAAATAATGCGAGTTTTGCGTTTATTTGTTTTACTTTTATTTTCGAAAACAAAGGAAATACAATTGTATTCTCGTAAATATTTAGTCTAATCGTATCGTATTTTCATCTAAACGTTACTTGGCCCAGTTAGATCTTATTTCAGTTGAAATACATTCTTCTCCATTGTACGTATCACGTATCTATGCGTCACGATTAGATCGAGAAACGAACGTCCGTTTATCTTAATCTTGAGAAGTGAAAGAACGATGGGAAAACCGCATTATCTACGGGCTGACCCAATTGTTCGATGAATCGGAGATACCCGAATCCTGTTCTCCACTTCGCTGGAAGTTTCGGCTCCGAAAGGAGCTGGTCGGCTCTGATAATTGGCTCGAGTCTACGACTTCACAGTTGAAGTGCGGTATCAACACGGCAGGAAATCGCTTTGGGACGTGTCCAGGTTTATTAATAAACTCGGAAAAATCTTCGAGAATTTTGGAATTGGCAGAACGTCAACGGCCAATTAATTCGCTTTATTGCTCCGGATAATCGGGGTATTTATGTAAGAACGATGGGTATTCTCGTAATGGATCGCTGATTGAAAGACGTCGGAGAGATTAAATTGTCTGGCGCATTGACACTATAATTACCGAGCAGTTAGTACGATTAATATGCATTTCCCATAAAAATTGTAACAATAGATTATCTTCAGTTTCTTCAGACATTCATTGTAGTACTTAAATGAAGCTATTTATTTTCAATATCATTTCCAATATTCAGTGCTTCGAAGATATCGATAATTGCTGCACAAAAAAATCGAAACCAGTCATTTTGTCTGGTACGATAGTTCTAGTGTTAATAAGCTTTAGTGGCGACCCGTGTAAGTACGTGCGGCCTGACAGAGTATAAACATCTGTGCGGCTTCTTTCCGCGAAGCTAGTAACTATACAAAATGACCCGTGCGACACGTAACTGTTCGTCGATTAATCGCGTCGAGTTTCGCTCGATCGTCGACGTTTTCTTGTAATATTAGCAGTATCCGATTTTAGTTGATCACTGCTCTAACTGTTTCAATTCTGCTGGCACAGCAGAATTAGGGAATTGTTCACACACTGTGTATATGTTATATATTTTCACGAATTCTGTGCATTCTATGCAACTCCGCCCTCTCAGGTTGCCCTTGAATGCATAAAACTCCGCAGTCCGGTAATTACTTTCTAGAATCAACTGATAATTAAGATCGAACCGAAAAATTCGCGGAGATTAACGTGCTTTCGTTGGAAGTTCACGCAGGGAACTCGAGGTACTCGGCTAGCACGAAAACGAGCAGTTAAAAGAGACCGATGGACGGTATTAATACGCGACGATTATGATGCATGGTCGTCGTTATTCGAAATTGTTCTGCGCTTGCTCGCGGGCAGTTCCATGCCTCGGTACCGTTAGGTTAACGATATTTTATCGCGTGCTCCAATAAGTGAATTAATCGCCATATCGTCTCGTTATATCTCTTATAATCGTTTCGACTTTCTTCCATATAAATCCTTCGTGAAAAAATATCCTAATTACATACTATCGACCATGCTTGAAATAATAACAGTTGATTAAGACATAGATAATCGTCAATTATTCCTTCTGCATCGATCGTAATATAAGACAATTCAATTTCATGTTACCAACAGGAATTCAAATAACCATTGATTCGGCCAAGTATCTTTAATAACCGTCGATCATTTCTAATCAGAAACATAATTAGGAAAATAGACTTGTAACGGAGAATCCCTTTTACCACATAATCATAATAATCATAATAATCATTGATATTCTTCCGTATTAGATGCATTCTTTGCATCCTTCCATTTCTAAATT